GTAGAAAGGAAGTACCCTTTGGGGGTACCATTGATGAGAATAGAAAAGTAAGGAACAAGCTCTCATCCAGTTTCTCCATTGGATTGGGTTTCTTCAAGTAAATCCCAATCGACATGGTTATATGCTTTCTCCCAATCGAGCTTTACTATGACACTGGGATCTTTGTTCAGGCGTCTAAAATGTATATATTTGTGAGCCACCAGGGCACTGTCTAGAATCTACCTGTCTTTGATGAAATTTGATTGGGAGAAATGATCAAGTGTAGGACCTCTTTGAGGCGAGAAGCTAGCACCTTAGCCAAGTCTTTATAGGTGGAGTTCACGAGGCTAATAGGTCTGAAGTCTTTGGGCTGATTTGCACCTGGAATTTTGGGTACCAAAGTTATGAATGTTTCATAGCTCGGTGAATGGTCCCCCTATCGTGAGATTCTTCGAAGAGAGAGAAGAAATCAGCAAGGAAAGATTCCCAAAAAATCTTGAAAGGAGTCAGAGGGTAGCCATCCTGTTCAGGGGCTCTGTCAGAGTCGAGGTCCAAAAGGGCTGCTAAGATTTCGGGTTCTGAGAAAGGTCTCTCTAGCCAAGAAGCCTTTTCAGGCGGTAAAGCAAGGAATTGGATGTCCCCCAGGCTCTGACAGAGTCGAGGTCTGAAAAGGCTGCTAAGATTTTGGGTTTTGAGAAAGGTCTCTCCAGCCAAGAAGCCTTTTCAGGCAGTAAAGCAAGGAATTGGATGTCCCCCATCTGGGGGCGAGGGGTTGAGGGGGCTGAGAAGAGGGTTTGAAAATAGCCTAGGATGGCTTGCTCTATGTCTGGGGGGCGATCTAAGAGGTTTCCTTCCACCAACAGCTGAGATATAGAGTTATTCCTGCGCCTGCAGTTAGCTGTTTTGTGAAAGAAACCAGTGTTAAGATCCCCTAATTCAACCACTTAATTCTAGATCTCTGGTACCAGAATATTTCCTCTTTTTTTAGTAGGGATTGGAAAAGTAGTTTAAGGTCGTCCCTTTCCTGAAGTTCAGGGCCCGAGAGAGACCTAGTTTCTTCTAGGTTGTCAAGGGCCTGGATGGACTGCAAAGTAGCAGTTTTCTGGGGTTGAGGAACCCTGGGAGGTTCTGACTCCAAGATTTTAGCAGACCCTTGAGTAATTGCAGTTTTCGCTGGAATTTGAACCTTGCCGAACCAACAACCAAACTAGAAAGCTCCAGCCACCAAATCGGTAAAATCTTAGTAAGAGAAGGTTCTTCCAACCATGCTAATTCAAACCTAAAAGGTTTGGGGCCACTATGTGAGGAATTGGTGTTAAGGAGGATAGGGCAATGGTCAGAAGTGGGCTTGGGCAGAGCCAAGGAATGGGTTATAGGAAAGGAGGTGCCCCAACCAATAGAGGTAAGGAAGCGATCCAATCTTGAAAAGAGGGGATTGGAAGTGTGGTTGGACCAAGTAAATTGAGTGCCTTGGGTAGGGAGGTCTAAGAGGTTGTTGGAATCAGAGAAAGCTGACATAGCCGGGGAGATCCTTGAAGCATAGTTCCTTTCATGGGACCACCTATGACGTTAAACTGACCCCCTAGGCACCACACAAGGTGAGGAAGTTGACCAACCAGATTTAGTTCCTCCCAAAAAAGAGGTCGAAGAGAGTCTTGGGTAGGCCCATAGACAGCGGTAAATTTCCAAAAAAAGCCGTCACGAATTCTGGAAAGAAGAGTGGTGGCTGAGAATCTTCCCAAGTGTTGGGAGACTAAGGAATGAATCGTTGGGTCCCAAATGACCCAGATTCCCCCTGAAGCTCCTTCAGCTGGCACTGCTGCCCAATGGCAAGGGCGTCTCCCCCAGACCTGTCGGACTTGAAGCAGAGTAGGAGAAGGCAGTTTGGTCTCGGTTAAGGCCAGAATAGAAGGCCAATGTCTAAAGCAGAGGTCTTTGACTGCACCCTTCTTGAGAGGATGGCTGAGGCCTCAGATATTCCGGGATAAAATCAGCATGGATGAGTAATGGAGAGGGGAGAGTTCCTAAGGGAACGTCTCACCAGTGGGGCAGTAGGGGCCGAATACTGGTGTGTGGGGGAGAAGGAGAGGGAGGAAGAAGAGGGGAGGCCAAGTTTGAGATTTCTCAGGAACTTTTCTTGTTTACCCTTGCTCTTGACTGGGCTTCAACTTTGAAGAATTCTTTGAAGGGTCTTTCGGCGGGGGGGGGAGGTTCGGGGAAGCCAATGACTCTTCACGAATTTGTCCTTGACCAGCGTCCACTCCATTGACGAAGTCTGAGTATGCTGAGGGGGGTGAGAGCAGATCTCCCATGGTGTCCACTGAGAGAAGAGAGTCAGGAGTGTCCATCCCAATGAGGGCAGTAGGGGAAGGTAAAGCTGGTAGGACTGGGAAAGCCAGACCGTCAGCAGAAGTGGGCCTGAAAATGCCCGACGAAAGCCCGAAGGGGTCATTCACAGAAACAGGAGTGGGTGAAGAGAGGGAGAGTAGGAAGGCAGAGGGTGGGTAGCGAGAAAGGGGGGGGGGTTGGGAAAGGCGGAGTGACGTCGTCGAAAAACGTTCGACGAAGTTTGTCCTTAGGACCCTAGAC